CCATGGTAACAGCTCTTAACAAGAGCATTTTAAGTGTGTGTGTGTGTGTGTGTGTGTGTGTGTGTGTGTGTGTGTGTGTGTGTGTGTGATCAGTATGCAGCAGAGAATTGTCCTCTGGCTGGAGAGCCGTGATTGGCCAGAGAGCTGGACCCTGACAGGCTAGAGAGAAGAGCCTCATTGGCTTGATGGAGATGGAGGCCATTGGGATAAAAAGGGAGCCAGAAGCAAAGAGAGAGTAGCAGTGAGGCGGATAGGGTTAAAACAGACTGAAACGGAGTGACTGCCTGCTACTGTATGCATTGAGCTTACTTTGAAGGCCTCTAAGCCTGAGGAGCCTTTGAGCAGAGAGGATGGTGTTATTTATGGTTTAAATGAGAATGGAATAAGTGACATGCAAACTGAGATCTGGAAAGAGGCAAATCATTTCCAGGCAGGATCATATGAATGATGAGTTGATGAAGCTAAGTCTTTTCTCATGATGCAGACTAGAGTTGATTGGGTATGGGAGGGTCTAATAGGATAGGCAGTTGCTCTGATACCTCTCAAAACCTACGGGTAGAGCAGCACCTGTAAAGACTTGAAGTGAGTCAGAGGAAAGACAATGTTCCAGTTACTGAGCAGGCTTGACCAGAACCTCTGACCTTAGCAGCAATCCTCATCTAATGAGTGGGCCTGGGACATTATGTGCATGGAGAAAGTGAGGTACCCTGCTGGAACAGCAAGTGACACTCATAATTTTGCTCAATTGAGATGCACTGTGACATATGATCAAGGCTGATTCAGGGAGCAGCAGCTGGCAGCGTTAAAAGTCAAACAGTTTCCAGTAGCCTTCAGTCTGCACAGGAACTTCTAGAAACTTAAAATATTATCATACACAGATGGGCTATATGAGGTCTCTGATAATTAAACCTATGATGGGACAGCCTATATAGAATGCTATACAGGCAGATGGAGATCTCTGCTCATGGTTCAACTTTTGTTTGCAGGAATTCTCAGGTAAAACACCATCAGATCAGTTTGCACGTGAATCAGGTGGCCAAACGTGTCACTCTCAAACTACATAATGATACTGAAAACATATAAATAGTCATAATATAATAGCTTCAGTGGTTGATCTGATTCATATTAGCCCCGTGATAATATACAACACTTCGCTGAGTGTTATATATTAGCTATATATGTATTCTGTCATTCAACTAGATATGAAAAAAAAATGGTACAACTGTAAAATTGTTGAGCCAACTTCTGACCCATTCAGTTGTTAGATCATGTGACAGGTTTCCCATTGCCTTAGAGCAACTGTAATACCTGGTTACAAGATGTGGCTGTCATGATCTCATGATAAAATCATTGCTTACCTTTGCATAACATCGAACCAGTCGAGAACAAGTCAGACAGAAATCTAACGGATTACATTTGCATTGATCGCCAATGATTGATTTTGCATAAGTCTGACTCATCTCGCGGACTTGCTTCCACACCAGAGAGGAAGGACTGAGAGATGGTGTGAATGTTCTTGAGTGGAAGTGAAGCTTTGATCAGCAGCTGACATTACGACTCATGTCAACATGACAACAAAATGTCATTGAAAGCACACTTAATGCCATTGAGATAGTGAATAATAGGATTTTGAAGGCGTCTGATGTCAGTTCTTGGCTACATCGCCCAGTCAACTATTAACTTGATAATATTGACAATGGGAGCATGATGGAGTGCAAAGGTTTAATAGGAACCAGCTGCTCATGCTTGGAGTAATGCCTGCATGTGGAGCAGATAATCAAATTTAGCATTTTCTTGCATAAGTTGATTGCATATGCCTGCAATGATGCTGATTAATCTGGTACAAAATAACAGGAATAGATGAGACATTAAAGGATTTATTTGATAACTTTGATGAATAGATCTTTCCTGAAGCTCAGGTACCAATGGTACCAATTCTGGCTCTTTGCAAGTTCTACAAACACATGACACTGGGTCAGTAATAACACTGACACCATCCTGTTAATAGATGTGGGTGATGAGCTGTTTCATTTCCATATGGAGTTAAAATTGTTTCAGTATTATTTGCATGAACAGAATGGCAATCAGTGTATAGATGGGGAATCTATAAATATAAAACACTTTCCACAAATTCAAAAGAATTGTAAACTCTCAAAAATGTACTGCAACTATAAAATGAATCTGGAAACACAAAAAAAAGTTTCTCAGTTTCACATTTTTAGATCCTTGTTCTACATTTGTAGATTTGCATTTCACACACAAAAAAATTGAGGCGAACATTTCGTTGAACATTCTCACTGAAAACCAACTCATCACTCAGTGTTTTTAGGAAAGCTCATGATCACCTCTTGAAGACTTAGTTTTTTGCATTTCATGATGGAGAGCATAAAGTCTTTTTATGAGCTGTTTTTTGTTTTGTTTTGTTTTGTCAGAAACCATTACTTGGAATGTACATTAAAATGAAGAGATGAGGAGAAGAGTGGGGCACAGTCACTGGTGACTGTTGTAAAGAGCTTGCATTCTGTCAGCAGTTGTTCAATTATGGAACAAACTGTCATTTTATGCTAAAAATGTTTTGCGATATCAATCATGTTGGAGATCAGCATTTAGCATTGTTGCACGCTTTAAACTTTATGGGAATATACAGCAAAATGCACGGACCAATGGCTTAGTACTGGTGGATACTGGTTTAGTTATATCACAGGTATACAGAGTACATTAAGCCAGTTTGCTTTTATGGAGATGTTTCATGGGCTGCCCTCATTAACCTCAATGGCTGTATTGTATACAGACATCTTTCTGACAAAAACATGTGGTGTTTCTTGTGAAAACATGAGCAGACCCATTTCTACGTCGAGCTGGCCACGCAGACTCCCCCTGACATTTTGGTGGTCCGCGCCGGAGGGAACAATCTGAGGCTCATGTCTCTGTGGGATCATGCCGCCGCCATTAAGGAAGACCTGGTGCACCTCCACAATGCGTTCCCCTCCATGGCCATCGTTTTTTCCTCCAACGAACGTAAGGCCTGGAGAGACAAGAATGCTGTAAGCATCGATCATGACCGTAAATTCGTCAATGGGTGCATCAAGGAGTCTGCTGGCAGCTTCGGCAGAAGAGTTACTGAGCACCCTTCCCTGAGACACTTTAAAATAAGTGTTTCTTCCGGATGGGGTGTACTTCAACCGGCAAGGAAACAGAATTTTCCTGACGAACATCCTGAACGACATCAGGGACATCAGGGACAGCTACAAGTAAGTGTGTGGATTAAGTCATATATTATTATTATAGGCATTCCTTCTGAAATGATCACATTTTTAGAACTGTTTCTGCTCAACTAGCTTTGATTTGACTAATATTTTAAGAGCATAAATTATAGATATAATAAAAATAATAAAAAAGTGAAAAATACCTTATCTTAGGTAAAAATTGAAGTATGCATATTAGTAAAATCCATCCATTTCTTTATCCTCTATAGGTCGTAAAGAACACAGACGACAGCCACCCTTGCCCACCAGCCATTATTTTGTTTCTTTTCTTTTTTTTTTTTTTTTTAGTTATTTAGTTAGTTAGTCCTTCAGTTAGTTCTTAGTTATTTAATTTTTTCTTTAGGTAGTCCTTTAGGTATTTAGTTAGTTCTTTATTGATTTGTTTTTTTTAGTTAGTCCTTTAGTTAATTCTTTATTTAGTTCTTTTTTCGAATTCTTTAGTTAGTCCTTTCGTTAGTTCTTTATTTAATTCTTTAGTTAGTTCTGTAGCTAATTCTTTTGTTCGTTGTTTAGTTAGTTCTTTAGTTAGTCATTTATTTACTTATTGCTTTAATTTCTTTCTTTATTTATTTGTTTCTTTGTTCGTTGTATATGTTGTATATATTGTAGAGATATTATTTTTACATAAGAAAAAACATTGAAACTTAAATAAAATTGTGAAATATCGATTTTTGTCAACAACATTCTTTTTTATGTCACCAAATACTCTGATATCTTTATGGATTTCATATCTCTGGGTCTTCCTCAGTGTTAACATGCACTTAACATGGTAAGGTATAAACCTTACAAATTTAAACAGAGAACCCAACAATCCAAAGTTACCTTTGAACTCCCTCTGAGCAAGTGGTTAGCAACAGTGGGAAGGAACCAAAAACAGGTCAGGGAAGTGAAGCTCTGGATCCAGAGACGTCCACAGAGAGAACAAACACAGGACCTCGGGGGAAACCCAGAGTTAGTGACATGTAATGATGGTTATAACTGTATGGAAGGAAGAGAGAGAGTAGAAGAGAGGAGCTCAGTACATCATTGGACTCCTGTGGCAGTCTAAAGCTATAGCAGCATAACTAAGGGACAGTTCAGGTGATCCTGAGCAGCTCTAACTATAGGTTTTATCAAAGAGGAAAGTTTTAATCCTAAACTTAAAAGTAGAGAGGGTGTCTGCCTCAAGAACCCAAACTGGGAGCTGATTCCATAAGAGAGGGGCCTGAAAAACTGAAGGCTTTGTCTCTCATTCTACTTCTGGAAACTCTGGAACCACAAGTAGATCTGCAGTCTGAGAGCGAAGGGCTCTGTTAGGATGCTACGGTAGCATGATAAAGTAAAATGGAGCTTGGTCATTGAGAGTTTTATATGCTAGAAGCTGGATTTTAAATTCTATCCTGGATTTTACAGGGAGCCAGTGAAGCTTATACGGGAGAAATATGATCTCTGTTACTGGTTCCTGTCAGAACCCTGGCTGCAGCATTTTGGATCAGCTGGAGGTTTTTAAGGAAAGATATCTTGTTATATTCCTAATATGCATATGAGATAGCTACAGATAGAGACAGACAATTTTAATTCTCCTCAGATGAGGCTGAGCATTGGGCCTCCTGTTGGCTTAGGGCCCTATGCATTTGCATAGTCCACATATAGCAAGAAATGGCTCTGGCTAGCAAATACTAAGGAAATGTATGTAAGCTTCTGACTTTGAAGAAAGTAATACAAAATTCTCTAAAAAAAAATTAATTATTCTGGCATTTAGCAAATAAAAATAATTTTTCGGTAATACAACCTGACCTTAACAGGAAACGTTTAGTCAAATTTGATGTCAGACAGTGAGATAAAAAAAAAAAAAAGTTACACGTCGTTTTATACAGTGTATGTAAACTTCTGGTTTCAACTGTATATCATGTACAGTAGTATTGTGTGTATATGAATACAGTATGTAAGTACTACACAGCGATATCTCTGCATCCTGATTGTGCATATTTCATATTCCTCTATCCACATATTCCTACATACACCAATCCACCGACAGGTTACGTAAATAAGAGCACATAGTCATTATATGAAACCTTATGTAGTACATGCTTTTGTATTCCTTTCTGTTTGAGTATGAAAGATGAATGCACAAGAATGCTTTGTGGGCAACTTTCCAGACACTAAAGTAGTGGACTTGTGCTGTTTCTTCATGTGGATTTCTGGCCACTGAGATTCATCCAGTCCTTCAGGTACATTTCCTTCTGAAATACATTGTGGTCCAAGTAGAAAGAACTTAATGGTTGTCAATGTCAGCAGTTCCTCAACAGACGCCACTGACTGTGCCTCACTAGCCTCCTCACCTCTGATCGTCTTCATTCTGAGCAATGTCTTCAATATTGTCCTTGGGCTTAAATTGAAAATGCTGAACAAAACACTTATTTATCTCGCAACTAAGACTGTCACAATCATATGGTGTCATTGTCAAGACTGATCATTTTGTAAAAAACAAAGGTGATCTTTGAGTGAAAGGATGTTTTCAAATTTGACAAAAACTATGATATCGAGGGATTTTTAGATCACACTTATACAGTCCATGTCAATACGAACCCTATGGAGACAGAAAACAGAATACATAAGAGAACAATAAACACTTTAGACATTGGTGAGGCCAATGAGTTCAGATCAGACAGGAGAGGACAGGCAGCGTCTGGTAGGTCGGGAAGGGTTGGTGGCTGAACGGGAGTGTTGAGCCCTGATGCCCAGCTGCTTGAGCCTCAGCTCCTGCAATCCTGCAATCCATGTATGACATGGAGAATGGAGCTTGACTGGTAGGTTGGTAAGCATAGCAGAAACTCTGATTCATACCACCCACAATGTGTGGTCACTAAATAATGAACACAGGATCTGAGGATCTATTGGTTCTCCATGATATCAGTGCCAGAATCCCAATGAAGAGAACTAGCTGGGGAGGGCTGAATAAACAAGGTTTCAGTGTTGTGGCACGAGTGCATGCTCAATGGCCTGAGAGGGAGAATGATGAAATCACAATAAGTTTGAAGAATAGGAACAACAGGCTGATTGGCCATATAGTGCAGCTGATAGGTTATTTGATAAAAGTGGTGATGAGGAAATAAGGACTGAAGTGCTTCGGCTGTTTCGCAATGAGTCAGATTCCACAGATTTGATCACTAGTGGTCATCACAAGGGCAATAAGGACAATACATGCCAATTAGATTTCTGTCTGACTTAGTCCCGACTTTCTCTGACACATGCAAACGTAGGCAATGATAACAAGGCCTTACTCTTGCCTGATTGAACGGCTGATTGGTTAAGATGTTGGCTCAGCAACATGATATTAGATAGAAACTTTTCATTTAAGTTGAATTACAATTTTTTTTTTTTTTTTTTACCATTTTAGCATAATCTTTCAGCTGTAACTGTGACAGTGTAAATCTGTTTTGGCAGAAAGTAAAGAATAAATACAAAAGCATAATTCAAACAGGTAAATAGCACAAATCTTACAAGTCCAACAAGTTCAAGATTTAGTGCTTTAATCATTCTCTTTTTAAGATCTATAGAACAATGAAATGGGAGTTCTTCTTGCTATTTATGCACCAAGGTCATCTTGGGAATGATGAAGCCATTTTCTGAACGAATTGACTAGTAGGCTGCGCTTTTATGCGTGTTCATCTGTTTTCTTGAACATAATGTTTTCCACAGCAGGTTAGGTGTGCAGCACAAGTTACCCAGGTGATGAAGTCATTAGAAAGACCACAACATATTAATTAAAAAAATAAATAAAAAATAAACTCAATCAAAAAATATATATCATATAATGTCGTCAAAAATATGTGATAGTGTGTTGAAAATAATGGCTGCTGTGATAAAGCTGCTGATGCTGAAAACATAGATTAACAAATTTCATTTTTTTATTTTTGTTTTAGTTGGCTACACCACCAGTGATCTTGTGTTCATGTGGCAGTCTGACCCAGTTCAAATGGATGAGATTGCTCTCCCACAGTTTGACATCAAACAAGAGGACATAAAATATGGAAACTGCACAAAATACTACCAAGGAACAGGTTGGTAATCAATATTTTTAAATTTACATTACACTTTACATAGATGTCTTACAAACTCTGTAAGCTTGGAAGTCACCTCTGGGCAGTGGGGGGCTCAACAGTTGATACCCTGAGCTACTGATCAGAAAGTTGGAGGTTCAAGTGCCAACAAGCAGCCACTGTTCTGACCTTGACCAAATGTCCTGCATTCTATTAGGACACCTTACCATGGCTGACCCTGCTGTGACCAACTGGAATTGCCCAGTGTTGTAATGTGTCTGTGAGAAATAAAGGCTTCTTCAAATATAATAACTGCACATTGATTTATTCAACCAAAGAAAAAATACACAATCAACATGGGAAATACAGACAGAGAGAACACAGCACACAAAATAAAGGTTTAAAAAATGTATTTAGGAAAAAGAACAAACCAATGGAATCAAACATAGGGATCTTAGCTATGGTAGAATAGCGATGACTACAGAAATATCCAAGACTTATGCTACAGAAAATACAATGACATGTAAGGCGAGAAGGGACAACAAGCTGGCAACATGACCTATGAAAAACAGTACAGACTTAATCATAAGAATCTAAAGAGCTGTCAGAGCAGGTAACTATCCAGAACCGAGTAATACAGAGCTAGGCAAGTTAACGGGAAGACTACCAATTAACAACTACACACACACAGCACGATACACTGGAAGTATAATCATGGAGCAGAATGTGCATGAATGGTGTGGTTACCAATAGCATACAATGAAGGCCAGACAGAAAACGTCATTGCTAAAAGCAAAAATAAATAAACACTACTCTGACAAGTGAATTCAACAAGTAGAAGCACACAGTCCCAACACCACTAACAAATGTCCAACAAGAATAATGCAGACAAAAGCTAGAGCATGCCAAAAAGTAACTACACTGCCCCAAAAAATAAAGGGAACACTAAAATAACACATCCTAGATCTCAATGAATGAAATATTCTAGTTGAAAATCTTCATTCATTACATAGTGGAAGCGTTGAAAACAAAATAACATAAAAATGATCAATGTAAATCAAAATTATTATCCCGTGAAGGTCTAGATTTGCAATCATACTCAAAAAAAAGTGGAAAATCACATTACAGGCTGCTCCAACTTCAGTGGAAATTACTCAAGACAAGTCAAAATGAGGCTCAGTAGTGTGTGTGGCCTCCACGTGCCTGTTTGACCTCCCTACAACACCTGAGCATGCTCCTGATGAGGCGGTGGATGATCTCCTGAGGGATCTCCGCCCAGGCCTGGATTGAAGCATCATCAACTCCTGGACAGTCTGTGGTGCAACGAGACATGATGTCCCAGACGTGCTCAATTGGATTCAGGTCTGGGGAACGGGCAGGCCATCCATAGCATCAATGCCTTTACAATGCAGGAACTGTTGACACACCAGCCACATGAGGCCGAGCATTGTCATGCATGAGAAGTAACCCAGGGCCCACTGCACCAGCATATGATCTCACAATAGGTCTGAGGATCTCATCCCGGTACCTAATGGCAGTCAGGGTACCTCTGGCTGACCCTTGGAGGGCTGTGCGGCCCTCCATAGAAATGCCTCCCCACACCATTACTGACCCACCACCATAATGGAGGACGTTGCAGGCAGCAGAATGTTCTCCACGGCGTCTCCAGACCCTGTCATGTCTGTCACATGTGCTCAGTGTGAACCTGCTCTCATCTGTGAAGAGCACAGGGCGCCAATGGCGAATCTGCAAATCTTGGTGTTCTCTGGCAAATGCCACTCACCCTGCACGGAGTCGGGCTGTAAGCACAAGCCCCACTTGTGGACGTCAGGCCCTCATACCAACCTCATGGAATCTGTTTCTGACAGTCTGAGCAGAAACATGCATATTAGTGGCCTGCTGGAGGTCATTCTGCAGGACTCTGGCAGTGCTCCTCCTGTTCCTCTTGCACAAAGGAGGAGGTAGCGGTCCTGCTGCTGGGTTGTTGCCCTCTTACAGCCCCCTCCATGTCTCCTGGTGTACAGGCCTGTCTCCAGGTATCTCCTCCATGCTCTGGACACTGTATTGAGAGACACAGCAAACCTTCTTGCCACAGCTCGCATTGATGTGCCATCCTGGATGAGCTGCACTACCGGAGCAACTTGTGTGGGTTGTAGACACCGCCTCATGTTACCTCTAGGGCTGAGAGCACTACTAAAGGTCTGAAAAGTTAGTAAAGGGGNGACAAAAGCTAGAGCATGCCAAAAAGTAACTACACTGCTCAAAAAAATAAAGGGAACACTAAAATAACACATCCTAGATCTCAATGAATGAAATATTCTAGTTGAAAATCTGTATTCATGACAAAGTGGAATGCATTGAAAACAAAATAACATAAAAATTATCAATGTAAATCTAAATTATTATCCCATGGAGGTCTAGATTTGCAATCATACTCAAAACAAAAGTGGAAAATCACATTACAGGCTGATCCAACTTCAGTGGAAATTACTCAAGACAAGTCAAAATGAGGTTCAGTAGTGTGTGTGGCCTCCACGTGCCTGTATGACCTCCCTACAACACCTGGGCATGATCCTGAAGAGACGGTGGATGATCTCCTGAGGGATCTCCTCCAAGACCTGGATTGAAGCATCATCAACTCCTGGACAGTCTGTGGTGCAACGAGACTTGATGTCCTAGATGTGCTCAATTGGATTCAGGTCTGGGGAACGGGCAGGCCAGTCCATAGTATCAATGCCTTCATCATGCAGGAACTGTTGACACACCAGCCACATGAGGCCTAGCATTGTCATGCATCAGAAGGACACCAGGGCCCACTGCACCAGCATATGGTCTCACAAAAGGTCTGAGGATCTCATCCCGGTACCTACTGGCACTCAGAGTACCTTTGGCTGACCCTTGGAGGGCTGTGCGGCCCTCCATAGAAATGCCTCCCCACACCATTACTGACCCACCACCATGATGGAGGACGTTGCAGGCAGCAGAACGTTCTCCGCGGCGTCTCCAGACCCTGTCACGTCTGTCACATGTGCTCAATGTGAACCTGCTCTCATCTGTGAAGAGCACAGTGCGCCAATGGCAAATCTGCAAATCTTGGTGTTCTTTGGCAAATGCCACTCACCCCGCACAGTGTTGGGCTGTAAGCACAAGCCCCACTTGTGGACGTCAGGCCCTCATACCAACCTCATGGAGTCTGTTTCTGACAGTTTGAGCAGAAACATACATATTAGTGGCCTGCTAGAGGTCATTTTGCAGGGCTCTGGCAGTGCTCATGTTCCTCCTTGCACAAAGGAGGAGGTAGCATCCTGCTGCTGGGTTGCTGCCCTCCTACGGCCCCCTCCACGTCTCCTGGTGTACAGGCCTGTCTCCTGGTATCTCCTCCAGGCTCTGGACACTGTGTTGAGAGACACAGCAAACCTTCTTACCACAGCTTGCATTGATGTGCCATCCTGGATGAGCTGCACTACCGGAGCAACTTGTGTGGGTTGTCAACACCGCCTCATGCTACCTCTAGGGCTGAGGGCACTACTAAAGGTCTGAAAAGTTAGTAAAGGGGCTCTGGTTGTCTGACAGCACAACTCAGAAAACACTAAATATGCTCTTCTCATGGTCTTCTGNTCTGGTTGTCTGACAGCACAACTCAGAAAACATTAAATATGCTCCTCTCATGGTCTTCTGTACCACACAATTAATTGCTTCAGTTAAACAGTACGTTATCTTCTGTAAATGTTGCCAGAAATTACTGAGTGATCCGTATTGTACCTTCTCTGTTTGTTTCTAGGATACTACACCTGTGTTGAGGTGATTTTCACATTACGAAGGCAGGTTGGTTTCTACATGATGGGAGTTTATGCTCCAACTCTGCTGATTGTAGTTTTGTCCTGGCTATCATTCTGGATCAATCCTGATGCCTCAGCTGCAAGAGTGCCATTGGGTGAGTACCACAATTACACATTTTACATGCTGTGTATGAATTAAAGACTTAGGTTAAAGAGAAATTTAAAGAGTTTGTGTGCGGCGTGTGAGGGGTCGGCAGAGATGACCCTGCCCACTTCCCAACCCCAGACAATCAAATCAGTGAAATAAATCAGTGAAAGAATTCATGCCACAAAGAGATTCAAGAACAGATGCAAAACAAAGTCAAAGAAATTTATCAGACTGGAGAGGGTTACAAAGCCATTGCTAATGCTCTGGGACTCCAGCGAACCACAATAAGAGCCATTATCCACAAATGGAGAAAACACAAAACAGTGGTAAAGCTTCCCAGTAGTGGCCGGTCAACAAAAAATTTCTCCAAGAGTGCGTAGACATCTCATCCAGGAGGTCACAAAAGAACCCAGAAGAACATCAAAAACACTGCAGGCCTCACTTGCCTCAGTTGAGGTCAGTGTACATGATTCCACAAGAAGGAAGACACTGGGCTAAAATGTCATCCATGGAAGAGTTGCAAGGCGCAAACCACTCCTGGTAGAAAAGAATGTAAAGACTTGTCCTGCATTTAAAAAAAATATATAAAAAAACATCTCAGATAACATCCTATAGATTCATGAGTCAAAGATGATTTTGGAAGGCATGGGCCCTATTGCATCTGGCGTAAAGCCGATACTGCATTCCTAAAGAAGAACACCATACCAACAGTGAAACATGGCATTGGTAGCGTGATGGTTTGGGGCTGTTTTGCTTCCAAAGGACCTGGACCACCATAATTGATGAAGCCATAAATTCTGCTCTCTATCACAACATCTTCCTGGAGAATATCTGCCCTTTAGTTCATGACTTAAAGCGGAAATGGGTTATGCAGCATGACAATGACCCAAAGCACACAACCAAGTCCACCTCTGAATGGCTCAAAAAGAACAAAATGAAGGTCTTGGAGTGGCTGAGTCAAGGTCTAGATCTGAATTCAACTGAGATGCTGTGACAAGACCTTAAAAGGGCAGTTCATAGATGAGATAGACTACTCTATTTTTTCCTTCCTTTCCCTTCCCTCTTTTCCTTTTCTCTTTCTCTAAGTAGATTAAGATCATTGCAATTCTTTCTCATCTGCAAGATAAATGACATAACATTCATGTGTTTCCTTGCTATTTTCTAGGTATTTTATCAGTACTCTCTCTGTCCAGTGAGAGTATGTCCTTGGCCTCAGAGCTACCAAAGGTTTCCTACGTAAAGGCCATTGATATCTGGCTCATTGCTTGTCTGCTTTTTGGGTTTTCATCTTTGGTAGAATATGCCGTGGTGCAGGTCAGTTCTTACAAAAACAAACACTGTACATAAATCTGCACATATTACATCCATCCATTTTCTGCATACTGCTTTATCGTCCTTATGCTCGGTTACAGCCCCCCACAACCCCAGTAAGGATTAAGTGGTGTACAGATAATGGATGGATGGATGGCTACGAAAACTTTTTGAAAATTTATTTTCAAAAACTGTTTTAAAAAACACCCATTCTCTCTTTTCTTCTTTCTTTTCTTCTCTCTCTCTTTCACTCATGCTGCATAGGTGATACTGAACAGTCCTAAACTAATCGAGGAGGAGAAAGCCAAAATGGCCACAAAGGAAAAAGCTTTGAAAGAGAAAGAAGGAAAAAAGACTTCAAATAAAACTAACAACACAGTCAATGGGACAGGTGGAACACCCATGCATGTCAACACTCTGCAGGTGAATGCAACTTGTTAAATGGACGAGCACCAACCATGAATGTATTATTGTCACTTGCATTCTTTGAAATAACCATCACTTACATCCTTTAAGATAAGTAAAAGAGTGGCATTGTACTTGTGCCCCAGCAAGACTTGTTAATCAGGCATTGTAAGATAAGAAAAGGAATGTTAAACCTATATAAAAACTCTATAGCAATGTGCCTTGAGTGCCATAATGAGTTAATTATATTACAATCAGCCTCTATCTTTTACCAGGTGGTCGAAACACGAAAGAAAGTTTGCACCTCCAAGTCAGACCTTCGCTCCAATGACTTCAGCATCGTGGGATCGTTACCTCGAGACTTTGAACTTTCCAACTTTGACTGTTATGGTAAACCAGTCGAAGTTACAGGGGCCCTCAAGTCCCAAAACAAAGCCAACAAGAAACCCCCACCACCCAAACCTGTCATACCTGCTGCTGCTAAACGCATTGATCTATATGCAAGAGCCCTCTTCCCCTTTTCCTTTCTTTTCTTCAATGTTGTCTACTGGTCGGTCTATCTGTAAGAGGAAGCGTAGGAAAGAGAGTAGAGTAAAAATAAAGTGATTTGTATGGTGATACAGACTGGTAAAATCAAAAGTCCAACATTTCACATTAATGTAAGCTAGAAGACTGGTGTGGTTCATGGGTGTAACTGTAAATTGCCATAACGACAAAACTTTGCGACTGTCCACTTTAAGCCCATGTATTAAGTCGGCACTGCATGTGTGTCTCTGTCTGATACAGGACATTGTGCTTATTGTAAACTAAACCATATCGAGGTTAAACCAAAACCTCTATGCTGTGCATTAGAAATAAATGCTTTTTACTGAGTGTGAAATTACTGGTAACACTTTATGTGAAAGGTATAGAAAAATGCAAACTACTAAATATGAATTTATACAAAGAATTTTAAGAAAACAGAATGAACTCGAAAAGCACTCCAAGAACGCAGACCTCCACCGAGCAGCTCATTTCCACCCAATGTGAAAGTCCTGCATTCATTTTATCTACACTATTAGATTCATGGAGAATCAGAACGGTCGTCCTGTACTGTCAATATTTTGTACACTTAAGTTATTTCTGCAGTTACTTCCTGCCTTTTAAGCTGTTAGCTAGCGCTATGCAAGGTTGGCTTAACTACAGCAATGTTATTCCTAACATAAACAGACAGGGGGTAACCTAAGCTAGGTTAGCACGACTTTAGCAACGCAACGTAAATGAAAAGCATGACCGACGCAACGAAGCACGCGTCAGCTGTCATGACACATGGCAAAGAGAGTTAAAGGGAAACAGGAGACATGTTCAGTCATTGTTAATATCACAACGACATTATGAACTTATGTATCAGTAGTTCTGCTCAGCCCACTCCTGTAATGCTGCCTGGCTGTAGCTTACTCCTATACTACTGAGAAGACAGCAGTGAGGACTGAAGGACTGAATGGAGTCAGAGCTCCATCTAGTGGACAAACGGCGCAATGACAACATTCTGCACCACCGTGACACTTAACATCATTTACCGATTTATGACAGAATAACCAGATGGTAAGCCAGAACATCACCAAAATCTAAGAATGAAGTATAAAACAGTTAAAGAGATTCTGTAAAGTCTGCCTTCTCCAGTTTTTGTTGGACATTTAACAGTGGCTTATCATAACCATAACACTACCAAGCCATTTTAACTTGCTTCCTATTTTAGTCTTTGATGCGATGGAATTTCTCTGACTATTGCACTGATCAATCACTGTTACCAGAAACACAAGCTTTAGTTCATAGGCATTTGCATACATGTCTTACCATTTTTTCTGCACAAATGTTACTCAAACATGCGAATCAATACCTCTTACCATAAAGTGTTACACAGCTTCATCAGCTCAGTCAATAACTACTAGATGTTTTGTCCTCTTTAAAACATTCCAGCATATAGAGGTATAATGTTTATGCTGGAATGTTGTAACTAACTGCTAGAGCACCTCCGGTCTTATATTACACTCATAATCTGTTAATGTTAAACACTGTTAAGCACCAGCTAAGCCTGGCTGCAAGCTGCTGACCTTGCTATGCCCTTTCTTGAAATATATTGCTATGGTATATATTTCATACTTGCCTCCCCAGCACTGTAAAGCCAATGGTGAATTCTTTTCGAAAAAAAAAGTTCAATAAAAAAGTTTCTTTTGTTAAGGAAGAGATGTGTGGATTTTCACTTTTGATCAAACATTCCAACAAAAGAGCACATAACTGAGGAAAACTGAATTTCCTTATTTGGATAGCAAAGGAAACCATTTCTTTTGCTGTATCAGAGATGACTTTGGTCCTTATTTTTCCCGCTGATTTTTCCCTATTGGAAATCACATGTCCTAACACTGATTTTTGTTATGTGTTATTTAACAAAATGTTGAATAACTATGTTGTCCAGTATGCAAATATTACCACATGTGGTTCATTTTACATACTACTAAAAATAAATCAGACATGTACACTGGCACAATTGCAGTGTATTTGTAATCCCGATGTGACTCTGATGAATAGTTCTGAGATTTTTGAGCAGAATGAACCCAGTCACAGTAAAACCAATGTGCTGATGATTTCCCCAAAGCAGAATGCAGACAAAGGACAAAATACATTCTGTCAATAAATTGTTAGTGGGGAGAATGCAGAATCAGTAAGTGGAGTCATTGCAAGCATTAGTAGAACTACAGTGCAATGAAGAAGTATTTGTCTCCATTTCTGATGTCTTCTATTTTGCATATTTCCCACACTTAAATGTTCTAGATCAAACTAACATTTATATTTATTTTATATTAGACAGAGATAACCCATAAAACAAAAAAATGCAGTTTTTACATTATGATTTATTGAAAATTTTTTGAAAACCTGTATCACCCCTGTGAAAACGCAATTACTCCCCTAAACCGAATAAATGGTTTGGCCATCCTTGGCAACAATAACTGCGGCAAAATGTTCATGATAGCTTGTGATCAATCTTTTACATCATTATGGAGGAATTTTGGCCCACTGTTCTCTGCAGAACAGTTTTAATTTGGCCACATTATAAAGTTTTCGATCATAAATTGCCCTTTTAAGGTCTTCCCACAGCATCTTAATTGGATTCAAGTCTGCACTTTGACTCACCCAAGAAGTTACAAATGCGTGCACTAGTTTCTCAGCATCACTATGAGACAGGATGTTCCTGATTTTGCTGATATTACACAGGTGAAACAAGGCTGTCCTACAAACGTGCTTTATGTGTTAGTTGAAAATAACTCAAAGGTTCCTCACAGTAGAACTGGAGGCCAAGATAATGCAATCCAGAGTAACTATCTGGTTACATAGTGTGTTTCTGAGGTGCTTAGGACCGGATATAATGACTTCAGTTATGTCTGAATTAATATGTAGAACATTACAAGTCATCCAGGCTTTTATGTCTTTCAGACATGCCTGTTTTCCTAGTAACATTGAACCTAACTGCGAATGAATTTAGTTATTTGCTCGGTTAGTAGCTAAGAGGGCAACTAGTTTTTCACATTGAGCAAGGTCGGGTTGAACATCATTTGTCCTTTAGTAAATGAAATCATCATTGAAAAATCGCACTTTGTGTTTTCTTGGGTTATCTTTGTCTTATAATAAAATTAGTTTGACGATCTGAAACATGTAAGTGTGACAAATATGCATAAATAGAAGATATTTGTAGAGGGGTAAATACTTTTTCACAACACTGTATATGAGTTCTTCTCATCCCCTTTCAAAAAGGTGTCAGTCAATTTGCAACTTGCTCTCATCTTGCATTTTGAGAAAACTGGATTTAGAATATGTTTTTATGTTCTCTGACAATACAGTGTGTGAAATGGTTCCTTCGTTGGTTCAAAATCTGTTAAACCTGGCCAGCAGTGGCTCAGGTGGTAGAGCTGGTTGTCCACTAATTGCAAGGTTGACAATTCAATTCCTCACCCTCTCCACATGTCAAAGTGTCCTTGGGCCAGACACTGAAGACGAAGTTGCTCCTGTTGCCAGGCAAGCACCTTGCATCGCAGCTCTGTCGCCATTGCTGTCTGAATGTGTGTGTGAATAAGTGAATAGAAAACACACTGTAAAGCGCTTTGACTAACACTAAGGTAGAAAAGCGCTATGTAAGTGCAGACCATTTACCATTTCCTTTTTCCTTCTTCCTCCTTATCTTTACTTTTCCATTTTGTCTGTTTGCACTATTACAGCCAGTTTCCTCCTCTCTTCTGTCTCCTCTCTCCTCATTCCCACATGTGCATGCTAATTGGAGCGCCACAAATCAAATGTGCATCCTAACCAGCCCTTTATGCATTCATGATGAATCTATCTTGTACTTTAAGAGCAGTTGTAGCTCTGTATTGATAAGTAATAACAATAGTGTTGTTATTGATGGTTTATTGTAATGGTTCCCTGTTTTCTTAATTTTTACATTTTATCCTTGCCTACAGAGCACCTGATCCACCCATCAAATGGCTTCAGAATTTTCTCATCATTTCAGTCACCTAACTCAATCACCCACTTTACCTGTTTCCAATTCTCCAATTAGCACCAATGTTATCATACGGATGTCTTGCCATTGGTCTTCCTCAGATCATCTTGTATCATTTTAGTTCCTTGTATTGTTTAGCTTAACTTCCTACCTTTATGCAAGTATTTTTTCTAACATTAGTTTAAAATGTATCCTCCCTTCTGGTCTCATTGCATGGATTGTGTCACTTTCTTATCCAGAGGTCCAACACAAGTAATAATAACTCATTGTGGTTTCTGACAGTAAAAGCAAGATTTCAGGCAAAAAATATCAAAGTGGAAATGAAACACCTCACCTGTCAGCATTATTTCATCATGAATAAATTAGTAATTAGTGACTACTAGTAATTAAACGAGTTATTAAATTAGTTGGTAATTGAACATGTGGTTAGATCTGCACTTAAAGCGTACACTCAGTACAACATGGTGTCCACCATTACATATCACTAACTCTGTGTTTCCCCCGAGTTCCTGTGTTTGTTCTCTCTGTGGACGTCTCTGGATCCGGAGCTTCACGTCTCTGTACTGCAGCCACTGGCCTCACCGACCCCCAAAAATACTTGTATTCATATTTATTGTGTCCGTTCTGTTGTTTGTTAGCACGAGCATTAGTGTTGTTTCTGTTGCTGTTGTTTTGCCTTCTGTCTTCTGTTGATGGCAATATGATTATTTATTTTTGGTAATATTATTATTTTATGTGTATGTATGTAAACATATATTTTTTTCTTTTCTTTTTTCCTCAAATAATATATCGATATACATTGATACACATATAACTTATTTTATGTTTGTCTTGTGTCTTGTATGTTTGTGTAAACTCTTGTGTCATGTCATTTGTAAGAGCTCAATAAAATTAAAAAAAATTTAAAAAATGCTACAAAAGGAAAGTTTCATAATAATAATACTTTACTGCTATGAAAGCAGGCACTTACAGCTTAAAGGTTATTGATAATCCTCAGACCAATCCTAGTTTTGCCCTCCACAACACAAGCTGAAG